ATAAGCCAAAAGGTGGTCTTCTGATCATGACAAAGCAGCAATTAATATGTCTCTTTTTTTAGCCTTCCATGTGACCAGATCTTTGACAAAAAGAGTTCGGGAAAATGGGGTCTTCCACTTTTTTCCAATTATTTTGCACACCCCTTTGGGAGATGATATAGCAGCATGGATAGGCTTTGATCACCACGCTAAGTTAAACAAGTGTTTGGACCAAAACGTAACTTTTGGCTTTCAGTGAAAAATACTTCAAGGTCACGAATTCCATTTTTTTTCTGCTGTAAACTGACTTTTAATTACTTTACCTATCCACTTTCAAAGATTACTGGTTTCAAAGTTCATGGGGTAATTAAAGCACTTAGAGCAGCTTGCAAATAAAAATGTTTTACCCTTCAGACTAAACTGTTTTGCCTGTACAGCTTTCAGTCCTCTGTTTCTCTGCTTAGGCAGAGACAACTACATGGGCATTGCAGGTGACAAGATGGGGAGCCTTAACATGTTAACAAAGGGCCTGTGCAGACCTGCAAGATCTTTATGGGCTTTACATGTCACAAAGTAGCAGTTATCCCTAAAACAGCTGCCGAGTTGTTTTTATTAATCACATAAAAATTTTAAATGCAGTAGTTGTATCCTCAGGCTCTCTTATATTGTTGTTTGGGCCCTGTGTATTCCCCAGAGGAAGACAAAGTTAGGTCTGTGCTTGTTGGCCATTATTCACTATGAGCAAGCAGACAGACACCATAATCCCTTACTACGCTTGACCTTCTCTAAACCCCAAAATAGATTACAGTTTACCAGTCTTTGGATAGTTGTCTTTTTTTTTTCTTTCTCTCAACTTTCACCTGATAATACTGTAAATTACACACTTCCTGTCCTAGGGTGGCTATGCTCACTTCTATGTATCTGTTGAGGGAGCCATAGTTGCCACCAAGGCTGGACTTAACACATGTCTTCCTCTCCATCTCCATTACATGAAAGGTGAGCAATTGTTAACGGAAGGAATATAACATTGTTTATGCTTTCAGTTTAGCTCACAGGAAGTTATCAACTGGTTTTTTTTCTTCACTTGCTGAAAATATTGGCTTCCTGTGTGCTGAACTGAAATTTCCAACAATGTTATCAGCATTCCAAGTTCTCTACTGGGAACTACAGAAAACCTATATTATGGAGATGAAGAAAGTAGGGGGGTATTTGTTGTCCAAATCAGGATTGCAGCCTATAGTGACAATGCTCCTGTTGTATAGATACAGTGCGGTGAGTGAGTGGCACATCCTAGGACAGGAAGTGTTACCGGCAGGATCAACAGATGAAAATAAAGGGATGCCACCACATCATGACTGTTACGCTACAATATAATTTCTGTATTTGTGACACCTCCTTGAGATCTGGAAGGTGTAAATACTGCACAGTAATGCTGTGGCTGAGCAGATTGCAGCAAGCATTGTGTGTTACACATATTAGTTATCCATGCTGTGTTTGCGTAATGTGTGTTTCTTTTACAATCTTATTCTCCCCACCTTTTTAACTTTTTGCCAAAAGCCATATGTGAAAAAGCACAAGCAAACACCCAGGGAAGGGACGCTTGAAAAAACAGACATCCCCAACTTTCCTTAGCCGAGTTAATTCTATGTATCATCAGCCTGCTTTTAATTTACTATTGCTTCTTAATATAGTATATATACAAAATTATTTAAATAAACCCTATCTTTTTTGCTTCTATGTAAGGATGATGCAGATGTGAGTAATACAGAAGTTGAAAAAGAGCCTGAAGAACCAAAACAAGTGGCAGAAGAAGAAGCTTCCATAGGAGTAATAAATGAACCCAAACTACCAAAGCGATGTAGAATTGGTGGCTACCCCTGTAAACAGTGTGACCGTGTTCTAATGTCCATGCAAGGCTTGCGTTCCCATGAGAGGAGTCACTTGGCACTAGCAATGTTTACTCGAGAAGACAAATACAGCTGCCAGTTCTGCTCCTTTGTCTCTGCCTTCAGGCACAAGTAAGGATTCTGAGAAAAAAAACCTTTTCCATTTGATTCATGGGTGTATATTCTATTTACTTATGCACATATTAATATTCTCATCTCTGGCATTGTCCGGCGCTTAATGTTTTTAGACATTAATAGAGAAAGGTACTTAAGTGTTACTAGCCATTTTGGAAGTGTTTTATTCATTAAAGGACATGGGATCAGTAGGTATTCTGATACAATTGGGCTACACTGCCTCCTTCAGGGGGATTTAGACACTGGCAAACAAAGTAGGTGTTGGTCAGCCAGGTATAATCCCTCCTACTCTCACCATGCCTCAGTTTTTATCTAGTGTTCTAGAAGGATGGACATCTTTTCTCTACTTAGAAAACAATATCCCTTTTTTTTCCCAAGATACTTTTTCCTTTAATCAAGACTTTACCTTAATCAAAACTAGGTCAACATAACCTAGCAACAACCATAAGACTATAGATTCAGAATAAGGTTACAGTCTCAGTACACAAAGTTTTAGGTTAAGCATCAACTGCTTTCTGTACATATAATAGAATCAGCAAGGGATATGAGAACTCCAGGGTACTAAGCCAAATTACAAGTTACAATCATGAGGGATCAACAGTCGTAACAGAGGATACCCACGGACCTCATATGCGATCAAATCGCTGCGGGTTACCTTGCTGTTCATAGGTAAATTTATAAATGGGTAAGGATTGATCAACTAAACACTACCAGCAACTCCAAGAGGGAGCCCCAGGGCTACCCCACAATAGGAGAATGGCCTTTTGTGGCATAAAGCAAGAACAGCCAGATAAGGGCCTGAGCCCCAGAATCCAACATCAGCTCACCAAAGAGACCCAAGAGGCAAAAGGTGGGGTTACATATGTTGGGAAAACCCAATCCAGTCTCCATAAAAGAAGTAACTTCAGACCAAAAGGCACATGCTGTGCGATGGACATGAGCTATCATAGTAGCATATAAGGGAGAAAGAACAGACTTGTCCCAATTAACTTTAAAACCTGAATGTCTAATTGAAGCAGGGGAGCGATTAGGGTCAGATAAGTAAATATGTATCATCAGCATATAAGGAGATACGCTCCTCAGGAAAATCAGGAAAAACTTCTCACAGCCAACCTTGCAGAAAGGATTCAGAATGAGAACCTTCAGACTTCTCAGGGAATTCAACAAGGGGTAGGTTATTGCGTCTAGAGCCATTCTACAGATCATCCAACTTGGCTCTGCAAGCCGCAAGTTCCCTCTGCAGCCCAGCGGTATCTCTAGTAAAATGAGTGACTGTGTCTTACAATGTATTCATTCTGCCCTCCTTTTCAGTGACCTGCTCACTCAGACCCTGTAATCATGTTTTAGCAGAGAGAGATCAACATGTACCCCTTCAATCTGCAAAGCAAGGGACATTTTACAATAATGTATGGTCCCAATTAATTGTAGGAGACTAGGCTCAGCATTTATGGGCGAATCTTCGGGCGGGACCCTACCCCCCTCCGCCATAGCAGGGGCCTTAGCGTAAAAGGATTCCGAGGAGTAGCTATGTGGGATGCTGAGGGAGGCCTGTGGGGATTTTCCCGCGGGCCCCCTGTTGATGAGTCACCCCAGACTTCCCCCTGCGAGGTCATCTTACGTGCACCAGAGCGAGCAGGGTCCGGACGGTCTGTGCGGCCAGAGGACGAGTGTGGAGGAGGGGAAGCCGCATGATCGCCGCCATCTTGTGACCTATGGAAGCCTGCAGGCTTCTCAGTGGGAGACGGGCCCTTCTGATACCCTATTTTCCCCATCTCCATGGACGGAAGGTAGAGAAGAGGATTCTGACCAGCCAGGTGAAGAAACAGAGTGGGAGTGAGCAGTCAGGATAGGTGAAGGAGATCGAGGACCAGAGCTGCTGCGATCAGCGTCTGTCCATATCAGCAGCCAGGCCACGCCCCCAGCCATTGGACTTTACATACTTTTGGATACTGTTTTAATAGCCAAGTTTTCCAGGAACACAGCTGTGGTGTGCCCAGTCTCTGTTGGCTCTTATTGCCACATAGAGCTGAAAATCAGGAGCTACTACTCATTGGTACCTTTTTTCAGGCTACCATTATGTCCCTATTCCATCAGTTTCCACACAAATGGTTAAAGCGCTCTTGCAGATCTTTTAAATCAAGGAGTCATTGCCATGGTTCCATCAGCAGAAAGGTTTTAGGGATTTTACACTAACCTTTTTTTACTGTTTGAAATCCAAAGGGGTGCATTCGCCCCATCTTGGATCAGTAGGCTCTAAATGTCTTCATTCAAACTCAAAATTCCGCCTGGAATCACCAAGTCTGTTTAAAGCCTCCCGGCATCAAGGAGACTTGCATGTCCATATTTTTTCAGTGCATTGCTACCTTAATTTTGCTATGGGCAATCAATCGTCAGTTTTTAGCCCTCCCATTTGGCCTATTGTCCGCATCCCAAGTTTTAACCATGTTTATGCCCCTGTACTAGCTATACTACACTCCCAAAACCCACTTTCTGATAGGCTGGAAGCAGAGATTGCCAAAGGGTAATAGATCCTCCACTTGTGGTTACCCAGAAAAATGTATTTTTGTTTGGGAATGCATCCAGTGGCACGTTCTAGAGCACAATGAAGCAGGAATATAGAACAATGTATCTCCCTATGTACTCGCATGCCATGAAGTGCATTTAGATGGCAATGTTTAAATTTGCTGTGCACCTCCCATAATTGTAGGTGGAACTTACTCTTTCAAGGAGGATGATCTGTAACACATGGCCTTCCATGTTGATTGCCAAATTTGACTAATGTACAGGATTGGCACTAGAATTTGGGGACTGTGCAGGGCACAATAACAGCAGTTGAATAAGAATCACATTTATTCATTCAGTCTTTCAGGGAATTCACATCTTCAATTACAGCTATTCAGTATCTGACCTTGAATGTTATGGGCATATTGGGTCTAAAGCAACCTTCTTTGCCAGTAGATCAATGACTGTATGGACTCCTTAACCAATAAATCCCACCCTGATAAGATTACAAATGATCAATGCACAAAGGTCAATGCATCATAAAATGCCAACCACTGAGATATCTTGATATTGTTTGGAGAGCAACCGGACACCAGACACCTCTGCAATTATTACACTTCTTTAATGGCACAAGTTTATTTATGGATAATCTTTAGTTGTCCTCTCCTTGACCCTTAGAGGAAGGTTCAGGAACATATGGAGATACTGTAGCAGAGATCCTACTAGAGGCAATCTTGTATTTCTCACAAACCTTACATTAGTTATTATCAACAATTTTAATATGTGAGTTGATCCTAATAACTAGATCCTAATAACTAGATGCCTTTAGTCAAAATGCAACGCAAAAGTGTATTCATCTTTAAATATTTGTGCTAACCTCTGAGTAGAAACAAACTAAAATGTATGCTCCCTTTTACATGAAGCAAAAAGACAAAACTTGAAGCAAACAACAATGCACTTTTTTTTGTTTTTGTCAGAACTTGATGATGCATTATATTAAATTAGCATCACGGCAAAAGTGATGTTTACAATGATTTGTATATTAAACATAATCATTAAATGCATTTAGGCACTGTTGGAAATGGGGAGCTAAAAGTTTCCCATTCTTGTAATAAGGCTAAACTGAAAAAATATTATCAAATGCCCAATGCATAAATAATAAATTCATCACATACATACATTTTATTCAATACAAATAAATATAGGGGAATCTGAAATGCATCCAAACATAAAGCTAATACAGTAGTGCATGTAAATGTAAACACAGCAACAAATCGAATAAGGAATAAAAAAAAAAACTTTTTCCAGCCAAATTTTAGAAACCACTACTATGTTATGTGTTTTCATACCTAAAATAAATATTTATAGATGGATAGATATATCTATATAGATATCTATTTACCATTTTCTAGCTTTTTGTTTTGGAACATGTTTATCCATAGGACACTACAGGCAGCTCCTATTGCTTTTTGGATGGCATAGATTACCTAATGTTTTTTTCAGTGCCTTTAATATACAATGTACCACACAAGCCTTGAGCTCTTTAACCCTTTTTTTTAGGACAGACAAGTCCTGCACATTTAGTTTTAGTTTTTAAACTGATAATGGCAATCTGCCAGCACCTTATATACAGGGTTAATTATGGCAAACCTTATTCAACAAACCCTCCCTTAACGTGACAGTAGGGAGATGCAAAGTAAGATTTTTCAGCAAGTTAAAGGGCAAGCGTCAATTGTTAAATATTTAAACTAAATTTTAAATATTAAGTTATGCTATGTGAAGGGGAACATGTAACAAATATAAAACAGATGCTCTCTCAATTTGGCTGCAAAAATGTAAATACAATTAAACTAGTGCATCCCTGTATTAGTAAGCAATAAAGTAGGGTACCAGCCAAAGTTAGATTATGCATTTTCTGGGTTGTACTTACTTTGTCAGGAGCAGGGAAGTTAAGTGCCTCAGGATTTAATCAGAACTTAATCTGTCATATATAAAACTGCATTTATTTAAATTTGTTTCTTTCTCTCCCCCCCCCAGTCTGGATCGACACCTCCAGGAACACCATGGACATCACAAACCATTTAGGTGCAAACACTGCCCATTCAAATCTTCTTCAAATAGCCGTCTGAAAACACATATTGCAAAAGCACACGGAGGTGAGATTTTGGAATTCATTAGGTGCTATGTTCAGATGGTAGTTTTGCTGAGAACTATAAAACGTGATTTACATAAATATTGACAATTTTATTATTTTTCTTGTATAATTTTATCAGGTGAACATGCCTACAAATGCTCATTTTGCTCTGTATCAAAAATGACAATCAGTCAGTTAAAAGATCACTGTTTAAAGGTCCATGGAAAAACTCTTACGCTACCAAAATTTCGAACTATGGTTCCAATGAGCCCACGTGCCAAACAAAGATCACGGTTTGGGAAGGAAGGTCTAGAGGGTAAGTAGACCATTCTAAAGATAATCACCATGTTTGCCATTGATACTGAAACATACATTCTTTTTGCTTTTAATAAATTACTGTAACTGTAGGCACACCCCAGTGTATCAACACATGAAAGCAAGTGTTTTCTATACGATCTACACATGTAGTTCTTAGTGCATTGTGTCATTCTAGAGCAGACATTTTAAATACAAATCAAACAGTGGTCTATGTAATCCAATAAAAAGATGACCTCACTTTGGTAATTGACATTATAGTATTACCGCAACTTGCAATATTGTAGCGTTATAAAAATATTTTATCAAGTTTTTACCTGCAAAATCATAGACGTGTAGCCAGAGAACAGTCTGTGTTCTCTGGTATTACATCCGTGTTCTAGAGTAATATACTAAAAACCAAAGTTACACAGCAAACATTTTATTTGCACATTAACCTTTTGAACTGGAGCTAATGAGTTTATTTGTCCTTAAATTTGTGCCATGCATTTGCTGCAAAAAAAAAAAAAAGACTACATTTGAAAATGAAGTCGATTGCAGCATTTATGGAGAACATGCCCTCCTTAATCTGAATAGAGCATATTGACATCACGCTGCAATATTGGAAATAAAATAATTATGGGAAGCAAGTTGAAACCTTAGTGTAAAGTGAACCTGTATCCTTTTCAAACATCCAGTTATGGTTGGTAGAAATTGGGACACAGAGATTTGCTTCTTCATATGCCTGGATATTTGAAGTGAACACACATTTATGTCATATCACTTCACTGATCCTTGAAAAAAGATATTCTCATATTAGAATGAAGTTATTAAGGTAACAGTGCAAGCTAAAAAAAAATAGACAGAACAAGGTTCCTGGGCATTCTTTTTTTTTTTTTTACCCTAATTTTTCCCAAACCCAAAATGGGTAGCCTGTGAGCTCCAAACCCAGGTTATGCTTAGCATTGTCAAAAATGCTTCAGTTTAAGGCTAAAACGCAGGCACAACTATTTGCAATATAATCAATTCTCACACTGCTCCATAAGTCTAGAAGGTGCATGCATTCGATTTTTGGGGCAGGAGCTCCAACTGGCTACCAGTTAAAGTGAACCTTTTACCCCCTTTCACTTAAAATGACATCAGTATGCAGCTCTGCCCGTTGATATGTAATTATCTTACATGCATTAGTTAAACATATTTTTCCTTTACCTACAATTAGTGTTTCCACTTCCTGGTCCTCTTGGGCATTAGTGATGCAGCTTGTGCACAGTGTTGCATCCTGGGAAGGTTACATCACAGTTCAATGCTCATCTGTAATCTCACAAGATCTCAGGGAACGGCCTTTCCCTTACTAAAAATGGCCACTGTGAGAAGAATGGGGGAAAAAAGAAAAATAAGGTGTGCAAAGAATACAAAGCCAGCAATTATCTAGAAGTAACTGTTTGTAGCTTGTCATCACTAAACATTTCTAAAGATCTCTTTGTTGTCATTTCAAAGATATGGGCAAATTTCCTCTTTTAAGATGGGCATACTTAGCATGGACAGATTTCTGGGTGGATAAAAAAAAGGTGTGTGTGTGTGTATAATATATATCGTGCTAATAGGCAGGTAACAAGTTTACATAATGCAAACATTTAAGAGTCTACTGTATATCTGTCTGGAAAGCTCCTTCTCTGTTTGTCAGAAACGCTATAAAGATTTGTAAGCAAATGTATACATTCTTACTACAGCAGGTTAAACTATCTACCTCAAAGTATGACCATATTTTTCTTTTATAGAACCTATATATTCTGAGCCACCAGATGTCCAGCAGCAGCTCAATCATTATCAGTCAGCTGCTTTAGCCAAAAATAACAGCAATAATAGTCCTGTGCCTCTACCTGTGGTTACAATGGCACCAGAACATAAAGAAGATGCTATCCTGAAGTGTGAATTTTGTGACTTTTCCTCTGGGTACATTCAAAGCATTCGCCGTCACTACAGGGACAAACATGGAGGAAAGAAGCTGTTTAAGTGCAAAGACTGCTTCTTTTATACATGCTTCAAGTAAGAACAACTCACTGTGTTTCACTTACGTTTAACATTAGACAGACTGAAGTAGTCATTCTCAGAGTAAAGTTAGCCATATAAACATAGATTTCTCTTGTTCAGCCTGTGGGATAGGTTCGTCCTTCCACGCTAAACAATGTGGATGGAGGAATCTCCACTGCCGGCTGTTGTATTAAGGCAGCTGCAGCACCCATGGCTTTCTGAATACTTGAAAGGTAACTGATAGGATACAGTCACTGTTCAGCTGAAAATATTTCACCTGGCTCAGTCTATTAAATTCACTTTTGCCAGGACGGGTGCTGCAGACAGGGCAGATTTAGCAGGAAATCGAGACGTGTATGGCTAGATTAAGACTGTGCAAGATTGGCTAGGTTTGCTTTTATTGTCCTGTAAACACATCCCTTCTTCCTTACCAAGATGAGACTTATTCTGGAGGCTGTTTGTTGAGTGAATTAATGAATGTTCATCCCTCTGTGATATTATTATACAGGATTTATATAGCGCCAATAGTTTGCACAGCGCTTTACAATATAAGGAAGACATTACAGTCCCAATACAATTCAAGACAAGATGGTAAGGAGGGCCCTGCCCCTGAGGGCTTACATTCTAATGAAGTAATATGTGCATGGAGGTAGTACTAGAACTATAAATGGACAATGCACACTCAATTTGTTATACATTTGTTGCAAGCAGTTTTTTTTCTTTTATAATCTGGTGCTGAAACCACATTGGACACCTCCTCAAAGAAGTTTCCCACAAATTCACAGTAAATCACATAAGCCAGCAAACCAGAGAAAGATAGCTTTCAAATCTCACTGTTGTTTATATTTTTAAGCAGAAAGTATAAGACACTAAGTATAAACCTTATTATTTGCACTGGGACTTGACATGGACTATATTATCTGAACTGCATAGTAGTGGAAAGCTAGCTTATGTATGGCAAAGCATTTAGAACTTTGTGTGATTTCCTGTACAATGTGTATATTTATCTTACACTTTTTGCTTGAGAATATAAACTACTGTGAGATTTGAAAATTATCTTTCTCTGGTGTGCTGGCCTATTTGATACATTAGGTAGTACTATACAAACTCTGTTTCACTATAAACAGCAGAGCAATTTAACCTCTGGTAGATGAACAGCAAATGACAAAAACTTGTTGATCTTTTTTTAGAATGTATAATTGAAATCCGCAATGAGGACATGTTGATTATATATTATCTTAATTACAGCTTTATTTTTCTTTAACAGATCTGCTTTTACAATGCATGTTGAAGCAGGCCATTCAGCTGTTCCTCAGGAAGGGCCCAAAGACCTTAGATGTCCTCTCTGCCTGTATCATACCAAATATAAACACAATATGATAGATCATATTGTCCTGCATAGAGGTAAAGGCTTTATGTTGTGTTCTCGTTTGTTTCGTATTGTAAACTGCACTGCATGCAAACCGGGAGGCATTTGATCATTCCATAATGTGTGTCAAGTGCAGCAGTGGTAGCTCATGCAAATTTAACGGTGGTAGCTGCTATTATTACCTCGTATTTGTGTCCTCAGAGGTTCATTTTAAATAGACTGCATGTTTCAGAATTTGTTTCAATTAAAAGCATCGATCATGCCTTCAGTGGCATGATAAAATGTTGTTATTGCTTATTCAAGAATGATTATATTACAGAGATGTGAATAATTGACTTTTTTTTCTGTATGCGTTTGGAAGGAAACAGGATTATGAAATAGTTTATATTATACATATTAGGTTGTAGAATTAGTGGCGGCCATACACAGCCTGAATTTAGCTTGTAATGTAAGCATCCAGCTATGTAGGGTTCTAAGAACAAGGAAGACTTTCTATCACTAAAAGCACTGATATTTTCTATATTTAGTGTCATTGGGGGATATCGGAGAGCTATTTCTTGTTCATACATCATAGGACACACAGAGTTTATTCTGAAACAAATGGGTTATGCAGCTACCTTCCAGTGATTGGACACCGTCACATCAAAGCTGTAAGACAGCCCTGTATAACCCCTCCTACTCCCAGCCTGCCTCAGTATTTTGCTTTTGTTCATAGGTGTTGGATGCCTTCTCTCTGCTTTCGAAGTAGAAACATGCAAAAATGTGCTTCTCAAAGACCTCTAGCAAGTTTCCCAAAGCCCTTCGACCCTCCAGTTGTGGGTAAACTACAAATCCATCATGGAACTGTCAATGGGAGTCATGTCTGTGACTGTCAGGCTTGCAGTGCTTTATGGGATTTGTAGTTAAACAACTGGAGGGCTGAAGTTTGGCTAAACCTGCTGTAGAGGATGTCCATGTTTTTCAAGGGCCACATGGACAAGAGAGTATACATCCTCTTTTAAAGCCTTGTTTGCTCTTGCAGGCCCTGCTTTTCATCCTGCTGTTGCCACCATGAGCATGTGAAATACCTTATCTGTATGGTCAACATCTATGGCACCACTCCTAAACAGCTAGAACTTTTTTCCTGTGGCCCTGTGCTATTGTGTTGTTGGCCTAGCAGATATCTTTAGAAACATCTCCAGGATGAATCTCCTGTCTATTCACATGCAACAGTTCCTAAGGCTTAAGGCTAGGACTTAACAGTACCAATTTGTTGCCCTTACATTCAGCCTGTCCTCTGCACCTTGGATTTTCACCAAGGTGCTGGCTCCTGTTTTGATTCGGCTTCGATTTTAAGAAATCCCCATAGTGGGGTGTTTTGATAACCTCAGAGCGCAGTCGACACAAGCCTTATACTCCAACATTAATAGGATGATACAAACGCAGCAGAGCTTTGCATAGGTAAAAAATCTCAGAAGTTGACATTGGAACTGTCTGATCGCTTGGAGTACCTTAGTCTCCGTCCCCTGGAAAAGATTCAGTCTCTCTGCTCCCATACGCTAACTTTGGGGTACATGATTTGTGCAACCGTTTGCTTTTGCCTGAAGGTTCTGAACGTAATGGTGATCTCCATTTGAGGCAGTCCCATATGTTGAGTCTCACTCTGTGGCAGTGCAACTTAACTTTTTTGGCTGCATGGGAAAAACGGGCACCTCTCTTTTTCCCTGTCCAGCTTGACCAGGCTTGCCCTGGCATGGTGGGTCTCTAGCTCAGTACTGGAATTGAGAAAGGTTTGGTCTGAAAGGTGCTTATGATGGATACGAACCTGTCAAGCTGGGAAGCTGGAAAACATCTTGGTTCAAGGGACCTGCCTGTCTGAGCAATCTCCTATAAATCCTGTTTACAATCTATGGATGTGTTTGTTTTTCTTTTGATTGGATTAACTCTTTAGCCACTGTATCACTTATTTCAAAACCCCATCTTACAAGTAATTGAATCATACATTTTTTAATATGAATGTGCGGTGTTGACATTGACACTGCTTGACTGCATTTTCAGTGCTGCGTTCTTTGGAATTGCTGGTCATGCTCAGCACAATTTTTCTTCTTTCTACATGTTATTGCTCCTCAGTGTCAAACAAGCCTGAGATTTCTGGATGAGGATGATTCATACGTCTCAAGTATAGCCCTGTTTGTAGTCGGCTGCAGATTCTTGACAGAGCTGTGTAAGACAGTTCAGGGTGGGGACAGGTTTGCACTTCACTGGTTAACACATTTGGTTTCTTAAATAATCCTATTATAATGAATGTATTCATATAGAAACAGGAAATCCTTGGACTTGAAACAGTCCTTCCTGAAGTAACAAAGCTGTCTGTCACTACAGTGAATTCCATTAGACTTGTTACTTTGTTTTAGCATATTTCTCTGGAAGAAGGTGGAACAAGTTTCTACCACTTGTGAATCCATGCACACAATAAATACTGTTGCTCTTGTATCCCTGGAACACCCAAGAGACCAAGTTTAACACTGGCCTTATTTGACAACTCCTATGTTTTGTAGCTTACATGATCCCCAATTGAGGTTCAAGTCAGCCTGTCACAAAGCTAAGCATATGCTATAAAAAGCATGTTACCTTTGGTGAAATCATGTGTCAAAACAATCTGAAGCTGAAATGATATGTAAAGTTTGACCCTGTCCCAGCCTATCTATTAAACCACTTTATTGGTTGGTTGGTTGGTTAGTTAGTTCGTTTTATAACTATCTATTGGAAGGCTTGAGTGGGTGATGTAAGGCTCAACTTTTTGCTGCAACAGTCAAACGTTGAATATAAACTGATCTAGTTCTGCTGATTTTGTTTTGGCATGATGTTTTGACTGAAGGTAACCTCTGCTTATGCAATTTTTATGACACATCAGTATAAATTGGTAAACTGTAAACCGTCATGCTTTATACAGTAAGTGGTTTGGGGTTAATTCTTTTTTAATTTTTACATTTATAGACTGATGTTGAGCATGTAGATTGTACCTTTTATGGCAAATGTTTTCTGCATCTAAAGGTGAACATAGACTTTCCAGTATTTTGGATTTGGAAAACAATATTCGACATCTCTAAAGACAGTACACCAAAATATGCTCAAGTTCTTGAAAGTGTTGGAGTTTTTGGGCCAATAGGCAACTGTCTTTCTGTCTTAAAATGTGCCTCCTTGTAGAATAAGATTTCTATTTGCATACATAATTATTGGATAAGGAGTTGCATCACTGTAGTATTAGTGGCAATGGTGCCTGTTAAGTATGATATCGGAGGAGGGCATTAGGATGCCTGAATGACCAGAAGTTGGGTGTCCTCTTTTTTAAAGGGGCCTTGCATATGCTGGTGTAGTAATGACTGTAAAATTACACATATCTGATGAGCAGACATACCGTTTTGCAGAAACATTTGATGCAGGTGCTAGGAATCCTATGTATTCCAGTCTAGAAGCAGTTTAGCTTTTAGCTTTTTATCCATCCTCTCCTAGCCATTCTGATTTCTTCAACATTGTGAGATGTGCTGTACTGACATTTCTATGCCTCTGAAAAGTAACAGGTTTTATATTGACTATTGTAGAACTTCCTTAGTTTTTCTTTTATTCCTATGATACCATCTCATGTTGTTTACTCTTCTTTGTATTCTTAGCATACACGGCATGTCATAACCATAACACTGACAGCTTCTTAAGAATTATAGTTAATAATTAGCTGAAAATAAGTTCTTGGGGTTGGTTATACAATTCCTAAGATAGTCCTGTGTACATTACCATTTAGTTTTTGACCATTTTGTTGCTTGTAAATTTTAGCAAGAGGAGGAAGTCAAGCAGCTGATTCCATTATGATTCCCAAGTTAATATAGTTAAATTCTCCCAGGTGCAGTGTTGTCAAGGTGGATAAATGTTGCTGTGTTAACACGTGTTCATACACAGATAAAACCTTAGCAGGATCATAACTGTTCTGGTATCCTGATACTGCCCTTCAATTACTTCAAGATAATTTTTTTGTGACTCTATTTATCCAAATGTAGCTGTGTTAAAGTTAAAAAGTCTACTCCATTTACCATAATCTTAATTCTTGGTATTCCGTTGTGTCCAGAATACAGATAGCTACTTATAGCACAGTTGTTAAGTGGATTTGAGTTAAAGTGCTCCTGTGTCCAGACTATAGTCTTTAAAGTATTTGTATGTTCTTAACAAGGAGTAAAAGAGCTGTAAAAGAAGCCATTGCTTATGTCTGTAGCTGCAGGCACTGTGGAAAAATGAATCCTCAGATTTCACAACAAAGGCACTAAAATCGCAGCTTCCGTCCCCTAATTTTGTATCAAAGCAGTGACTTGGCAGCCTGCTAAGTTTCTAATGTAAACAAACCCCAAGTTCTGTAACCTATTTGAAATCAACTGAAACCCAACTTCAGAGTGTCTGTTGTGACCTTTGAGGATGCATAACTCCAAAGTACCTACAGTTATAGTGCTCAGAGAGGGCTTGTTTTAAAGCTATTTTACTGGAAATACTATATCCGAACTCTGGGCACAGGTGCAATTTCAATTGAAAAATATTGAGTTTTGGGGGAAAAATACTAGCCTAGAGTGAGGCTTTTATATATTAAAGTCTGATAATGTCAATCCAATGCAATATTCACACAAAACAACCAAAAAAAATCCTGCTGTCCTTGTCCTTTTAGGGGTGGTGTCAAATCGTTTTTATGGTGCAGGTGGGCCGGCCGCCAGTACCATGAAAACACATTATGCTAGTTCAAAGCAGGCGGCACCCAGGACCACCCTCAGCATTTAGATAGGACAATGGTCTGTCTCTGTCCACACCTACTCCACCTACTGTCCTCTGTCGTGCTGTAATGGAGATTGGAAAGTAGGACTCTGATTTCAAAGGGGGGTTCTGACTTGAAAGATTGGAATTTTGATGTAAAGGGGGGGGGTCTCCTAATGTATAGGAGGACTCTGATGTGAAAGGGGGAACCCATGTCATTTTTTTTTAACATTGTTGCCCCTTAAAATCAGTACCAGACCCATACCTAGAATAAGGGTCTGGTATGGATTTAGGGAAGGACACACATTTTGTACATTTCATTTATTTACATTTTAGACTGGGTGGGTGCCTCTAGATTTTGCATATGTTTAAAGTATGCTATGACTGAAAAAAGGTTGGGAAATGCTGTTCTAGACTCACTCAGAGATAAATAGCACACAGATTGTGTGTGTGTGTGTGTGTGTGTGTGTGTGTTTTGCATACACAAGCACATTGCTGGATGAATAGTTTTATAGATTTGGTTTTCTAGTAACTTCCTGCCGCGAAACACCTGCACATTGGGCCAATAGTGAAATAATTAGTGGTCACCCAGATGTTTTTTGGTTTTAGTTGTGTTCATGCAAAGCTTTGGTTGGTTGTTTTTCAGTAACCAGCCAGCATATTTGCAGTTTATTGTAGAGAACTATTAAAATGCATTTTCCCATAAAATAATTAAGTATGGCATTTGCAATTATTATACAATGATTTTTATACAATTTTCATTGCTGCTTTCTTAATACTCCTAAATAATGCATACTAGGCAGCTGTGAAATTTGAATGAATAATAGTTTTTTCTCCTTGAAAAATTGAGGATCAGAGACAATTCAGTACTTTTTGGAAGAATCTTCTTTAGAATGCCTTTACTTGACCATTTCAGGCCAAGTACCTTAAACATCCCTGTAAATATCATCCAGAACATCTGATGTATTTTTTGAGATCTGGGGAGAAAAGGGGTAACCCTCTACATAACAGTGAGGTATTACTCACCAGTACTTACCAGCATGCAACAGACTGCTGTTGCTGTGATCTGTTGCTGCAGAGCAGATATGGATTCATTCTACAATGCTCCAAGATAACTGCTGGAGCTCTCCCATTCACCAGACCAGATCAAATATGTAGACCTAACCTCTAACTTTCCTGGATGCCTAGAGGTTCTGGTCAGGCATTTAAAAATTATTGAAGCCAGTGGGTCAGCCTAACAGACAGGCATCCAGCATTTCCGGGAGCTGCCATATTATTATTAAGATGGGTTTAATACACTGATTTTAGTCCCCTAGTGTTTGTGTTTTCCATGTAAAACAAACACTTTCTATTTCTATATAATGAAACAAATTAGAAAATAACTTTTATCAAAGGAATAGGAAGAAATAGGATGTGTTATAACAGAAAGGTCTACTTTCTATTAGGCTAGAGATGGGTGAGCTGTCATTTCGATTTGAGCTATTGATCTGGAACAAGTTTGGAGCTAGTGAACTGTGCTTAAACCTGATTTGCACATATTTGTTCCATCTCAGTGGCCTACCAGTTAGGGAAAGAAAAAAAAAGGATGATGGCCCCAAAAGCTGCACCTTCTTAAAATGAGTCTTCATTATCAGCTTTCATATTTTATGTCCTTACAGATTCCTCTTTAGTATTGTTTGGAATTTCAAGCACTGTTCTTTGCTGTAACTAATATGTAGGGTTACCCCTTCTTTCTCCCCAGATCTCCAAAAAATACATCCGATGCATCTACAATTCTGCAAATCTGGTTATTCTGGTCAACCGTTTTTGTTTTGTTTTTATTTTTATTTGTAGCATGTTTTGGATAACGCCCATTTCTCTTTCATCCATTGAGGGACACAGCCTACTAATTAAGCAGCCTAAGGTTATAGATACCTACATAGAAACTGAAGGCCAGTCCCCTTAAGGCTATAACCCCTCCCACCAGTGAAGCATATTTCCTAGTCACCATTATTATTATTATTATTATTATACAAGATTTATATAGCGCCAACAGTTTGCGCTTTACAATATAGGGAAGACATTACAATCACAATACAAATCAAGACAAGATGGTAAGGAGGGCCCTGCCCCTGAGGGCTTACAGTCTACTAACCAGGCTCCCTGGTCCAGGATTATGCTGGAAAGGATCATGGCATTGTACTTCCTATTTGACTGCAACAATCACAGAACCCCCATTCTTTCCAGCGTCTCTGACATTCATTTTTTTTCCTCCTTTGGATGGAGTTCACAGAAAGGGATTTTATTTTTCATTTTGGTCTTTTAAACTTATTTTATTCTCAGTGTTGGATCAGACATGTATGTGTTGTGCTGAAACTGTCAGGATTTCCTTGCTGACTTTTTGGTTTAAAGTTCTTGTATCAACATTTGCTGAAGCAATGTGCAGTAGAAACCTGTTTCTCAATAAATACCAGTTCCAAGAAGACAAACTGCAAAATAAAGCTGAAAGGAGGAGGTGGAGTCCCTTGCTGTGGATACTTCACCTCTTTGGGCCCATGAACTAGAGATGGAGTCTGGGTATTTAGGAACAGTGTAATCACCAAAATATCTTTTTAGTGAATAATAGTTGCCATTTGCACATGCATATAAGACATGTTTGTGAAATTCTGGTAGCCAGGGTACTGCTTACAGTGGGAATATAATAGACTGTAAACAAAAAATTTCTTAGCCTGTTGCAGATTGTGAGGTGGCTCAAGTATGTCTTCTGTGTCCCATAGATGCTTTGATCATCACACAGTGCTGTATCTGATGACAGTCAACACAACAGATGTTTATTTATCTTGCAAAATGTGTTCCTTTCTAACAAAAAATAACTGCATAAAAACGGTCCAGTAAAAGCTAGCTGGTTAGTTAACGTGCCCTTTGCCTAAATGACAACACTATATATTTTTTTTATTTTTTTTCATTATTCTATTAAATGTCTTCGTTCAATATAAAAAAAAAAAATCTTATGATTGCCGTTTTTTTTCTTCTAGAAGAGAGAGTGGTCCCCATCGAAGTTTGTCGCTCCAAATTATCAAAACAACTGCAGGGAGTTGTGTTTCGCTGTGACAAATGTACTTTTACCTGCTCCAGTGATGAGAACCTTCAGCAGCACATTGAGAAGCACAATGAACTCAGGCCCTACAAATGCCAGCTATGTTATTATGAAACTAAGCAAAATGAGGAACTAGATAGTCATCTTAGGGAGGAACATAAGGTATGCTTTACTTTACTTCAAGTGTTGATTTAAAAAATAAATGTATTTAAACCTATATAATCTACATTGTGTTTTCTGTGAGTACATACTGTATGTTAGATTACATGCATTACAATATACACGCTTTGGCTTTTGTTAATGTGCTTTTATTGTCACTCTCTGTAAGTTTGTTGGTTTTCCCAGGCTGATTACAAATATTTCAATATCTGGTTGGCCTATACTGTAGTTAGACTTAGTATTGCTTAGCTGCTAGTGCAACATTCTCTATAGGGACCCTGTGAGAAGGATTTACATATAATGAATATTAAAGTACAATTTTATAATTTAAAATTTTGTGTGCCATTAAGACATGATTTTTAACATTTCCAATTAATCATACTCGTATTATTATGCAATAACAGTACGCAGGTAGATCCCACAGTTTTACTGAATATAGTTTGTGGTTACAGAATTATAGCTGTCAATATTGGTTGCATCTGCAGTGATCATCTTATTCGCAGATAGTGTGCAGTAGTACTCTTGAGACACTTTCTGATGTTCTGCAGAAAGAAGTGCCAATACTAGCTGTCAATCAAATTTTTTGTTTCTCTACCTTAGGTTTGCCGCAATTTTGAGCTTGTTGGGCTAGTTAATTTGGATCAATTGGAACAAATGAAAGATAAACCTGAAGCGTCAAGCAGTGATGAAGAAGAGACTGTTAAGATTGAAGGTTGGTAATTGTTTGAACAATAATTTAATAATGACGGTTCTGTGTAGAATATATTTACAAATCAACTGTAACTTGTTCATGGCTTGCGTTCTGTATAAAGATTGACTGTAAAGTGTAATTGAATCAGTGGAGTTGTTAAAGAAGCCAAACAAGAGTTAAAAACATTCTTCGCAGTTTACTTTCTTTCGAGACTGTGAGCCCCAAGACATCATGGTGCTGCCATGTTGGGAGAGAAATCTGGCTGGGTTTAACTATGATAGAAAAAGTCTGTATATTTGATGGTATTTAATTTATTTATAAACTGTCCACAATTTGACTTTGTGTTAAAAAAATAAATAAGCTACCATTTTGTGGGTATTATGTTCATGGCAACAGTTTAACTTGAGCTACAGAGTATTTCACAAACTTATCAAATCTTCTCTGACAAGTGTGGGGTGGGGAGGAAGTGCATGGAGGCTTCTAATGGCTTCTTACTAGCAGGGGAGGAAAAGCAATCAGTAGCAGTTTTCCTTTTGAACAGTGACCAGCCAGTAGGCTTAGTGGCCACTTACAGATGTGAGCTTGGGTGACTGTCATCTCCTGTGTATGTACTGTACATGTACACTTTTCTGAGTCAACAAGGGGATATGCTTAAATGTAGTAAAAATTTAGTGTCATTAAACTGTATAGAAGATTGAAATTTTAGCAAACAGTAACAGTTGCTCAACTGTTATAATAACTGTTTCTTTATTTAGTTACCATGCCAGTTCCTGATGTCACGGTTGCTTCTGAAGAAAAGCGTTTCCCTTGTGAATTCTGTGGAAGAACCTTTGCACTTAGAACTGAATGGGAAAAGCATGTTTTAAGGCATGGCATGTAAGTTGAGAGATTGTCGGAAACCTATTGACCACACAGTATTGTTTAAAAAAAAAAAAAAAATGAATTAATTAATGACATTTAAATTAATTGGGTGTTCCAGGTTTCATGTGTAATATCTCAGAGGAGCTGGACCAGTCCTTGCTTTTTTAGATATTAGTCACAGTAGCACCCTCGAAAGAGTGGTGGTCTTGCATGTCTTGGTGAACATAGTATGCCCATTGCAAGGTTAAAGCTCATATTATGGCACTGATATAATGGCATTATGTCAGGTTTTTCTCACAGAATATCTAATTTTGCATATACAAAGGGGATTTGTGTAGAAGTAGAATACCATAAATAGAAGCTCTCCGTAGGTAAACATGGGAACTGCCATTGTAGTTTCTTTAAAGCCCATTTCCACCTTTTTGGAAAAGGTATTTTTTTTAAACATATGCCATCTATGTACACCAAGGGGTATATTCACTAAGCTGCCATTCGGCTATTCACTTCAGGCCGGTACAGCTGAAATCAGCCGTACATCGTGTGGCTTCGGGTCGGCCGACCATGCGGCCGACCCGAAGTGCAGAAGGAGTTCGACTCAGCCGATCCAACATCTGGATCGGCTAGGCCGAACCTCCGACAGGCTTCTCGCTGCTGTTCGTTCTATTCTTATAGATGCCGAACAGCAGTGAGTAAATAGCCGAATCCCGCTGAGCGGCATTCGGCTCGGCTGTTCTGCTTGGTCCCTCCGTGGGACCGAGCAGAACAGAAAAATAGTTTAAAAAGTGTAGGTGAAGCAGGCGTATGCAGTTGATGTATATGAAAACAGAAACTTAAATTTTTTTGTTAGTTTTCCTGTTCATATCCATATGGAAATGTCTGTGCTGTGCAAGCAATGTGAAAATATCCCCCCCTCCCTTGGACAGTGTATTGTGTGTAAAGGCCAAACTAGTGTTTACTGATCATGTTACAATGGGTGACAGGGAATGGGCAGCTGATTACAGTCTGAGACCCTGGTGTCTGACTGAATTTCCCGCTCAGAAAATTTTAAATTTTTAGGCTTCAGGCCTAATAAAACTTTCATTAAAAAATGAAGAAAGCCTTGCAATGTGAGTCATGAAAATGTGCACGTGTGTGTAATATGATAGATAGATATATATATATATATCTATCTATCATATTAATCATATATCATATATCACTGCACCTCTTCATTACCACAATAAATGTAAATCACTTACAAAGGTGGAAATAGACTTTAAGGTTCATGCTTCAGGGCTATCATCTTAATTCTCGCTTTAGTACAGGCCAACTAATATGCCCATATTTCTTCCAAGTTTGTGATTTAATACTAAAGCAAGGCTAAAGATTATGGCCCCAGTGGTTTAACCTCCAGAAACAAGTAATAAATAGCACTTCCCATCTTTATTTAGTTAGTCAGGTTGAAAAAAATTTCAACAAATAGAGGGAAAAAAAAGATAAATACATAGAAAACTTTCATAAACCGATCCCTATACCCACAGTTGATCCAGAGGAATGCAAAGCATGGGCCAATTTGCTCCAAAAGGGGAAAAAACACTTCTTCACAATTCTCTAAAGGCATACGGATATTCCCTGGATCATCAAAAACATCTGGTGTTCTATTCTGTAAATTTAGGAATGTATCCAGCTTTTTTTTAAAAAAAACAAAACAAAAAAACAATGAGCTGGTTAAAACTAGCTCCTGAGGGAACATTTTCCACACTTTCACAGCTCTTACTGTGAACAAGCCTTTCTTTTATGTGGAGGGAAAACTCCAGATGCAGAGAGCGCCCCCTTGTCCTTTAGCAGTGACCTTTAAAGTGAATAATTTGGCACCAAGTTCACTATATTGACCTTTATGTATTTCTACATGGTGATCATACCCCCTCCCCTTCCCCATTATCAAGGTAGAATAGATTCAGTTTAGCTAATCTTTCCTCATAGCCAAGATCCTCTATGCCTCTTAATGGTTTTTGTCCTCTTTTGCACCCTTCTCTCTTCAGTTCCACAATATCCTTTTAATGAAATAGTGGCAACAACTGTTTGGGGGTCAGTTTTATTCTAATAGTTTTTTCGTATGTGTTTAAACTGTTTTACAGCTGCCTTTGCAAAATCTATATACAATGTTTTACACATAAACTTTTACTACATAGCAAAGGATTCCCAGAGCACCAGGATAGCTAAAGAGACAGTACAGCAGTAGATGCCTGCCTTCCATCTCACTTTTTGTCTGATTTATCAGTTCAGTCGAAGAGTTCAGTCTGAAGTTTTAAAGGATGAGTTGCTGAGATGAGTCATTTCAGCTTTAGCTAATGAGTTCTATAAACAGGTTTTACAGGAGTCAAAGCCTAGAAAACAATATATAATAGAAATGTAGACGTGTAAAAGTTTTTTAGTCCTGACCATATTATAGAAATTCCTGTACAAAACAATGAAACAGTTCCTTTAACATTTTTAAAGTGGAATAGTAAAACAAAATGAATGTGACATACCCAGGAGACCAGCAGTGTATTAAAGTTGACTGGTCACAAGCCTAATGCAGCATCTGTAGCGTTCATAAGCACACAATGGTGGGAATTTATCAAAACTGGAGCAGTTGCCCATAGCAACCAATCCACTTCTCTCCTAGGTTTTTTCAGTTAAGCTGATTGGTTGCCATGGGCAACTGCTCCAGATTTGATAAATTCTCCTCCAAGGTCTGTAGACCTTGGAGGTCTATCATTTCTTTACAAAAAAAAGGAGTCTATATTCCTGACTGTTGGAAGTTGTCGCTGTCCAACTTAGAAGCTGGCTACTACTTCAAAGGCAGTCCCCTCTCCTTGTAGTGATACTGAAAATCTAGTTCTCTGCCCTGGAATGAGCATGCAGTTTATGAATTGGCAATCAGGGCCGTCTTTAATATTGATTGGACACTGGGCAAACATTTTCTTTGGCCACTACCCCCACGGTAAGTCGCACGACATCTTCCTCCTGCAGAGCAGATAGGAGAAGATGTCCGAGGGTACTCCTGATGATTTTGTTTATTCTACAGGACTGTTGTTGGAAATACAAAGGATAATGAAGAAAACAGAAAGCCAAGAGATCACGTCGGGGACACTTATGATGAAGCGAAGCAAGCAGAGGAAATAGTTGACACTTCCCAGCAAACAAATATATCACATAACACATATCTGAAGGACCTTGTGGTGACCAAAATGGAGTAATTGTTTCAGAAGACGGAACACAAAGTTGCTTGAACACTGACACAGTTGAGGAGAGGGTAGAAAGCTGCTTTTTTAGGACTTGTAGCGTCTTCTATTTTTCAAGCACTGATACTCATACGAGTGTGTATAAAGTTCATTTATTTAAATGAGGAACTGAGTCAAGAAATTACTTCACTACATCTTTTCTTCTCATTTGTTAATATAAATTTTGATTGACGGACTAATGGAACTTTTGCTTCATAACACAGACTTTCTGGTGCAAACTTTCTGCTAAGAATGACTGATACTGCATGGCAGTACTTTTAAAAAGCACCACTTTTTGGACAATTTTTTAACACGTGCTTTCCTTACTGTTGCATTTACTCTAGAGATGAGAAGTAAAATGTAAATTTGTTTTCTTTAATTACATTGGTCACTATACTTCTAGTACCTCAAAAAAAAAAAAAAGTTCCAAGGGAGTCCTCTGCATTTACCCAAGCTGCTTTTCCAAGCGGATGAATGTCAGGAAAGCTTGCTAAAATAGTGAACAAAATGAACTAAATGTGTGGAAAAGACGCACAATATTATTCTTGAAGATCCTTTTGTGGGCTTTGTCTTAAATACTGTGATTTTTTTTTTTTCTAAGTTTTAATAAACTAAAAATTGAAAACCTAGAATACAAGGTATCTATTTGTAAACGGATGTACAAACGCTTTTTTTCTTAAAGATTAATTTAGGAATTCCGATTTTTCATCCTGTTTATTATATACTGCAGTAGACAAATGCAACAGGATTCGGATTTTTTTGACAGGAGGAGGCTGTGGTTAAGACTGTAGTAATAATGTTTACCATTTTGTTTTTTATTTCTATTCAGCCAAATAGGGCTTTCAGTATACTAATCTGCAAATAAGGCACTTTTCATGGCTATTTGGTTTGATATGGCCCATACACATTTAAAGAAGGGCAGATATTTGAACATTATCTTATAACAGAAAGATCCTCCATCCTACACTGTATGCCTGCCTGAATCCTAGGAGTCAATGTGTGCCATCCAAGCCCCAGTAATAAAGTGGGCCAATAGCCTTTTTTACCCTTTTGAGTTAATTGTCTAGTCATACAATCCAGAAGAAATCTTGTGGTTTCCACTCATCCTCCAATACCTAAGTGTATGTGTACAGGGGTTTTCCATGTGTCAGCATGACAAACAAAAGTAAGTTCTTTACAGACAACCGAACTGAGAACACTGTTTGTTGGGTCCATTGAAGCTTACTAGATGCACACCAGCCAGAGCAGATAAACTTTGGAAAGCAATGAAAAATGAATGGTAGCAATCATGTCCAATCCGTTGCACCATCCCCAATTATTTAAAATACAGAGAAAATGGAATACATGCTTCTTCAATCCCAACAAACAGTGATTGTGGTTCAGTTCTCACTGTGGTTAACAAATATTGACACTGATGGAACCTTTTACAGATCCCCTTACAAGTCCGTCATACATTATCTAGATCAGCACGTTTTTTACATTTGGTGTGCTTTTGTTTCGTTCAAGCTGTAGAAATTAAGAAGTGACCTGCAAATTCATATTTTTTTAGCTGTTCCCGTTTTAACTGATATTTTTGTCTGTTACATTCAAAAATGGATCAACATCTTGAAGGATTAACCATGGTAAATGTATGGTTAATATGTATATGTTTTGGTTTAGAGTAACATGTTGCACTTTTTATATAACATTTTTCTGTGCTAACGGTCCACACACAGTTAAAGTGGTGTTCATTAAAATTTAGCATGGGACTCTTAGGAGTTACTGTACAAATTTACCTCATTCCTTTGCATTTGAGCAGAAATAGTTTCAGGGGTCAGCTTTCTGGAAATGTTGCTAGATGGGAATCTTCAGAGATTGCTATCTTTTGCAGACACGTGTGCTTTGTACATACATTTACACTTATCCAAGCCTCCAGTAACTAATTAATTTATATGTAAGAAAGACAGTAGGTTTGTACCAGTTCTGAAAAAGGAAACTAAATAGGACTTTGGCTTAAAGCTGCGGCTTAAGAAACCAATTTGTAAACCATTTTTTTGTTACTGCAGAAAGTAGATGATAGACTTTGAAAACTGCAAGATATTGATTGGCCTTTTCTTGAAGCTCCTTGTACATGCTAAAACAATGGAGTGGTTACCAAAAACTGTATGACATGTGAAGTGTGATGCTTTATCACTACTTTATTTTTTAGATAACATGTAAATATTGTAATCCATTGAACTTTGCTTTGCTAACCGGTTAATTAAACTATGGGACCATTATTGTTTTAAACGACTGTTGTTTGTAGTTATTCACTGGTTTGTTGGAATGACTCTACTTTGAAATAAGTGTGCTCTTTTTCAGTAGGCATACATTATGTACCAAAATAATAGGAATGTGTCTGTATATGCTGGTACTTAGTGCCTGCCCCAATACATTTTACAAGACAGCCAAGGAATTGACTGTTGGAGGTACCTTGGCGTAGCAGGGACTATGTCAGACCAACTTATTATAGCCACACCTGTCTTCCTCCCACAGGACACTACTCCCCTCCAATTTTTAAAAAGCAATGAAATATGTGAGCATCTGGAAAAGGGGAATTTCCACTTGAATTGACGGTTATGCTTTAAGAGGACAACTATAGTTAAAAAAAAAAGCATAGCGCACACCGATTTTACTTAAATGCCTTGTGGAAAGATCCTCAGAACTCTAAATGCAATGAAGAAGGTCCGCACTCACGTCTTTCTCAAAAAGTAAATGAAGCTTTTTTCATAAAATCCAACATAGGCAGTTGGGCAGATACTCCAATCTCCACAGTGGATCTTTGCAGCTCCTTCAGTATTATCTTTGGGGTTTTTAGTTGCATTTCCGATAAATGCGATTGTCCGGTCTGTGAGTTTTGATGGACTACCTTCTTTTGTCAGGTTTGTAGTGGTGCTACATTTTTCCCCATGGATTTAATGGTGCTTCGTGGGATTTTCAAAGTTTTGGGGATTTTTTTTTTTAACCCAACCCTGATCTATACTTCTTCGTAGCTTTGTCTCTGACTTGTTGGGAGAGCTCCTTGGTCTTCATGTTGCTTGCTTAGTGGTGTTGCAGACTCAGGGGCATTTCAAACCAGGTGTTTTTTTTTTTTTTACTGACACGGCTTTTATAAACCATTTATGGGGCTTCTGAAGTTAATTGGTTGGCTCACATCTTACTTGGGGGATTCATAGCAAAGGAGTGAAGATTTTTGTTTCTTATTGTTTGTCACAATAAAAAATATTATTTTGTACCTACACAAGTGGTAGGCATGTTGTGTACATCACATGGTACAAACCCCCAAATATCCATTTTAATTCAAATTTGTAATGCAATGAAACAGGATAAACACCAATACCAAGAATAAGCACCAACTTTTGCAAAGTACTGTATGTAAAAAAATTTTAACAATACATATAATAAAGGTAGTATTTAAAAATTATAGCAAAAGAAAGTCCAGACAGACATAAAAAGACAATGAAATGCAGTTATGCATTAATCATTCTAATTATTAAATGTAGTTAGTGTAAATACCTGAAAATAACTTGGTTTTAGCCTCTTTGAATCCCCTTTGCAGTTACCATTATACTGTGAGGGCCAGCATTAGAAGCCATTCAGGTTTGCTGTATGCTCTGTCCAGAAACATGCTAACAGATGGGATAAGCTTAACATACTGCTGCTCCTTCACTGTCCATTCACGATGGTGGGAGGGAGGTCTCCTAGCTGTGTTTCCTTAACTGCAATAGAGAAAACTCAGGTCACCAACCTGCTCTGCTGTCTTATAGGGCTGTGTTAAGCTGGGTATACACGCTTCAAATAATGTTCGGTTCGTGAAGAACCAGCTAAAATTCAAAGCGTGGATGCCACTGCCGGCACCTTTTGTGACCAGCATCCCTCAATCAGCTGATCAAAGGAGCATGTGAGAAAATTCTTTGCCTGTTCGGGTTTTCTGATAGTAGCTGGCGGCTGCTGTCAGAATACAATATAAATAGCAGGAGATGCCTTGATCAACGTTCGTAAGTGTTGATTTAGGCTCCGTTCACATTGAGCGATTTATCGCGCGGTAATTCCCGCGATATCACGGCAATTTACCACGCGATATCGCTCTCCAATGCTTCTCAATGGGGCAAAGGGTCCTGCTGTCGCGGGTTGTGCGTCGCTACAGCAGGACCCTTTTTGGAGCAGATTTACCTGCGATTCAAGCTTGCTCAATGCAAGCATTTGCGCGATATCGCGCAAAATGCAAATCGCGCAGTGTGAATGGGGCCTTAGGAATGTATTCCATTTCCCTTGTTGAGCCGGCAGGCTGAAGTAAGAAAATAGAAACATGCATACCCAACTTTAGTCTCAAGACTGGATAGACAAAATGAACAGGTATTATTTTAAAGGGCACTCTGCCTTCCAGTGAGTTCAGCCTTCACTGGCATGGCAATGCTCATATTAAGAACTCTAAATGCAATTAAGGCTATAAAACAATCTTTTAATTAGACTATATACAGATCTTATTAATTTAATCATCATTTCACTTTCACAGTAAAGTAGCCATGAAATCTAAATAAAGAACTTGCTTTATGTAAGTTTTTGTCTGGAATGTGACACATGTATATGTTTTTTGGAGTATGTCTGATAACTGGCAACATTTGATCTGTTGTGCCAGAGACCATCACTCTTATTTGGCAACTCTCTCCTTTTGTTTTCTCTGGACCATGTTTAGTGTGTTGAACATGATGATATCAAACAGCCAGGAATTGATGAGGACTTCTTTTCAAAAGGTCAGAATTGCAGCAACAGCTGCTGTGAACGGTGCAGGTTTCCATCAAAACATGCAGTGGTAGCTACCGTGTGTGTGTGTGTGTGTAAAAGGTTAACTGCATAGTTAACTTCCCCAGTGACGTTCACTCTGTCTATTGTTGCTTAGATTGTTGTCCCAGAGCAGGAAAATCTCTGCACAAGGTGGGATCATGGAGTGTAGTCATCACACTATTTGTTGCTGGGCTGTTGCTCAAAGTTCTGAAGCCATTGGAT